AAAAAATTCCCAAAATAACCAGGAAACTCTTCACAGAACCCCCGCCAGTCCTGCCTGGCCTTATTATACCCTTAAGCAAGACCCAGTCTGCGCTGAAGGGCAAGTCCATCCCTGCCGCATTAAACAGTCGGAGCGATGGGGCAGGCAGCAGACCCTGGGTTTGACACCAGCCCGGCCCCAGCCCCAGCCCTTGCCTCTCCCCGGTGCAGCAGCGCTGCAGGACGGGCGGGCTGGGGAAGCCAAGTGCCTCCCTTCCACCCCGCCTCGCCCTGCTGAGCCCCAGGAAAAGCGAGACGGGCTCTCGCTCCATCAGAAGAAATTATCTGCTCCGGTGAGCCCCCCTCCATAAATTACTACCAGCTGCCAGGCACCAAACATCACGCGGAAGGGGAAGCCTTAATTAATTGTGCCATAAATACAGGCACATTTTATGCGAGATCTTCCCATAATAAACTTTATTTCTGGTCTCAGCCTACCTTCACACACTGGGCAAGGGACTCGCTCTTCTGGCCCTTCTTCAGATGCCCCTTGACCCACGGTTCACTTAGGGATGTCCCATCCAACGTGGCCCTGGGACCGGTCGGTAGATGAAGCCCCCGCAGAGGATCCCTATGGATCCGGCCACGGGCCACACGATTCAGCGTTTTCCCAGCTGGGCTTTCGGGAGCGGCAGGGTTGCCACAGCCCAGCACAACCCTCAATATTCCCTCTTTCGTCCTTGCCAACCGCTTCTCCGAAAGGAGCCAGCTCGGAGGAAAGGGGCTGCCTGCTGTTGCTGTGACGTGGAAGGTTACGGTGGTCATGCCCAGGCATCCTTATAGTTAAGGAAAGATTGGACAAAAACTGAGCCAGCCCTTCCAGCTCCCGCAGTCTCGGAGGCAGGGAGAGAAATTCCTCATCACCCTCCCACTCTCTCCTCAGAGGGAGCACTCGCGTTGTAGGTAAAAACGTATTAGTGCTTTTCACCTGCCCGTTGTAGTTTGGGAAGGGGCTCCCTCTGGGACACCAGCGTCTCCCATCTGCAGCAGAGGGGCGAGATGAACCCAGCCCAGCTGACTCTGTCGTTACATCCTTAGCAAAACTTCTAGAAGGACGAGAGGAAACACTCTTTGCAAAGGATGCTTTTGCAAGAGGTAAGGATTCAATGTACGAGCCAGCTCCCGAGCGGCCTCTTTTTCCTGGGGTGGAAAACCTCTCTGCAGAGGCCACGAACCCCCAACGTCCATTTTCTCTGCTTCCCTGAGCCTGCCCACCTTGGCCGTAGATGCTGGTGGACCTCAACGTGCCCTCAGGGGAAACAGAAAAGCTGTCCAAACCTATTCCTGAGTCATGGAGGAAAGGCTCCGGCATTTTTCCCAGCTTGTATCTTGGCTTCAGCGGATAAGCATAATCCAGCAAGTCCTCATACTCTTTATTGGGGTTCCAGTGGGGTGAGTGACGGTCCGGAGACGGGGGTAACGAGTCCGGTATGGCACAGGCCCAGTAATCAGCTTGGTAGGACGACATCTCTCTGACGCGCTCCACGGTGGTGCGGTCATCAAGCAGAGGACGGAAGGGCTTGCGCGCCCGTGGTGCCCGGTCTTCTGCTGCACCCCACCGACAGCACAGGTCCCGGGCAGCGGTGGCCGTCGGAGAAGACACATCCATGCTGGCCAGTAAGCTTCGGGACGGCTCTTCGGAGAGGATGTTTTCTTCTGAAGACAGAGTGGAGAAGCTCAGTGCGGAGCGGCTCCGGAGGGCGCTTTCGGGGCTGGGGGTGCTTTGGGGCCGTAGGAGCTCCGGGGTGGAGGAAAATGGGGATTCAGGTCCCAGCCTTTGGCTCCGCCGGCCGGCACGGGCATCGTGGCAGCTGCCAGCAAGGATGCTCTCCTCCGCAGAGCTGCACTGGCTGAGAGGGCTGGATGCTGGCTCCCAACAGCCTGATGCCTTCACCTGCTCGAGAACGGGGGGAAAAAAGGAAAGGGAGAAGAGAGTGAGAGACACAAAATGAAGCACAGCATCCAGACAAAAGGCTCCTTTGTGCCGGGACGTGGAGATAAAAGGCCAGCCCTGGACCCGCTGTGAAGAGAGGCTGGAAGGGGAACTCTGTTCTGTCTGTGGGACGGCACACAGCCACCCCGAGCCCGGAGCGGGGCTGGTTTGTAAGGGAAGGCATCCCGAGGGCTTGGGAAGCTGCACGAGTCATTCGGCAGCAGGAGACACTTATTTAAGGAGCCCCGTCCCCAGTGACTTTCCAGGTCCGCGGCAGCAATACGGGAACAGAGGCAAGGGCTTAGGTGTGGGAGCCAAGCCCTTCCCCGCGGCACAGCTTAGCCCAGGGATGAAAGCCCCTGCTAGGCCAGCCCAGGCAAACAAGTCCCCACCTTGCCTGGGACCTCCCGGTGATGCAGCAACACCGGTACGTACAACCCTCTCACCTGCTGCTCTGCTGAGGAGCGGAACCGGTGGCTAACACGACGAGGCACATCGCCGCTGTCGGCAGCTCTACAAATTAACGTCTCCGAGAGGTTTGCTCTTGCTCTAAGAAATCTGGATGTGGATGCTGAAGATGCTTCTGGGCGGTAGCTTGAGCCTCCCGGGGTAGCACCAGTGGCCAAGTGACTGCGTCCACTCAATGCCACACTCTCCGTCCCTTGCGGGCAGGGCTTGGCTTCCTCTGCCCCTAAAAGCCGGTGCAGGCTGTCCACTAGCTCTGGGTAGTCCATCTCCACCTCTGCACCGTCCCACCTACCATCGTCCTCGGCCTTCCCGCTCAGTGAGGCTTCAGAAAGTGATTTTCCCACATCCACGGCCATCGGGACAGAACTTCTTCTGCAAGACGATGCCAAGCCTCGGGCTCTCTGAAATACACAACACATAGCAGCGACTTGCCGTTCCCCATCGTCCCCACACCAAGTAAAGAAACTTGGGTATGTCTAATAACGAAGAGCTTAGGCATGTTCTGGGTCAGACCCCAAAAATCATAAAGTCGCATCTCAGTGCGTCAAGTGGGAACAGAGGAAAGAACAAACCACCGCAGCTCAGCAGCGTTTTCTAGTTTGGAGGAGATGACATAGAGGAAAATCTACTTATACGTAAATGGCAAACTCAAAAAGGAATAACAAAAAAAGGAGGAAAGAAAGTATTCCCAAACAATACTCGGAAGAGGGAAACAAGCTGATACTCACACCCTCCGTCAGTTCTTTTGTCGCAATCTCGTTTTACGATCCACCCCTCTGGCGACCGGGGTTTTCCCACGGGCAGAGCCCATGGACACGGACAAAGAGCGGCGGGCCGACGCGCGGGGTCTCCAGGGGAGACCGAATCCCTGGCACAACCCATGGCAGGCTCCGCAGCTGCCTTCCCCCTCCCCGAGAGCCGGCAGCCCCTGCAACTGCCCGGCCGCTATATTCAGCACAGCAGCAGCTGCGGAGAGAGCGAGTAAAGCCTGGCCTCTCCCAGCCCTCCACGCAAGCCACGTCCCTCTGCCCACACCTGGACTCACCCCCTTCATCGCTTAAGTTGCTACCAAACGCAACCCTACGCACATCACGTTATCCTAAAATCGACAGTATTGCTCTCTTTTTTCCCCCTAAAGAAGTTGTATACCCAAACAAAAAGTCATGGTAATTGCAATAAACGTGATTGATAAACCTAGCCCTGCTAAATTCCATACATATTATACAACAACGTATCATTAAAATATATGTACGCGTACATATCTTGTTTAACAGAAGGTAGCTTTCTGATGCTAACAGAAAGAGTATGCCAAACCGCTCACGAACCCACGCGTGTTTCCCACTCGGCGTGTGTGCGATTTCGTCAGGCCTCCATCACACAGATTTTTAAGGCAGGGTCTCCTGAGCCCCCGGAGGCAGCCCCGTCACCTGCCAGCCTTCACCCACTCCCACCCACTCCCTCTGAATTAGTTTTGTTTAGACGGTCAGGCGAGCAAGTGTTAGCAAACCGAACGCCAAATCCAACTGACAGGTGATTTAAATGCCTGGAAAATCCCCTGAGATATATATGTTTACCGGCTTTGACAGCCAGGGCCTTGGCCGCAAGGAGAAACAATGCTCGCTGGCTGGATTCCTCCTCTTCCAACCAAAACCTAATGAGTAAAAAGCTGCTGGGGTAAAAAAAATCCTAAGGTACCACATATTAAATTCCAGGATCCATTTCAGCGCCTAAAGGCCTCCTTCAAATTCACCATTTTGGGCGCTTCCCTCCATGACAAGCAGCAGGCGATTAGCAGGGAACGTCAGTAATTATCACGACATGAACGGGCACCTCACCGGCTCCGATCCCTCCTTGCATGTACTGGCAGCGCTGTATGTCCAAAAATGATCCAGTAAATAGAAATCTTTGTGCAGAGAGGAGGGTGCTGGACATAAATGCCTTGACAATCAGTTCTGTTGTTAGGTAGTGATTTTAAAAAATACATAAAAGAAAGAAAAGCTTAACAAGGCATCAAAGCAGACTTTAAAGTTTTAAATTTACTTAATTAATGACCGACCTTGGCACCTCTTTATTTTTAAGAAGATGCCACGTTAAATTCAAAGCGACGTTGGACAGCATTACCTCCATCAGATTTTGTGCCTTGAGTCATGTGGCAGTCAGCCCAGTAAAAACAACTGTAAAAACCATCCATAAGCTTGACCTTAGATCTGAAAAGCATGTGTTAAGCAACATTCAAAAAAATTGTAGGTCACAACCCATCTATTATTTTTGTAACTGTATGCAGGAGCGCAAAGGTTGAGCTGTTCTGAACTTCCAAGACTATCTGTTGATCTTACGGATGCAGCACGCGGGGACACACATTTCTTTGATGCCACCAGTCTTTAAAAAAAGAGCAAGTGCTGGTTCACAGGTTCATTAAAGCTCCAGAAGCTAATTGGAAGCTAAAGAGAAACTAGGAAACCTGCCAAGACGCACAAGTGAGAGTAAATCTGCTCATTTCAGAATTTGTAAGGATCTTCAAAGGGACACCAGAGATCCCACCGCATTTTCAAAAGTCTTTACTTCAGGCAGCCCACTTCTGTTAATTTTGGGGGGAGCCGGACACCCAGCCACCCCGGGACACAAACTGGACGGGGAAGCCGCACACATCCCGCACACCAAACCATCGGGCACAAAGTCGTACTTAAACCCACAGTGAAAACGCTAATGCCACGAAGTGCGACTCCCAACTACAAGAGCATCCAGAAAAGAAGGTTTCTCACCATTTTCCGACAAAACCACAAACATTCAGAGGTCAGGTTGCCAGTGGCGCCGATGCACCAAGATCAACGTTCCCGACGGGAAGAAGCAAGCCCAACTCCTCGGGGAGGGCGGACACGGCTCTGATGAGGGACGTACGACCACAGCTTTGGGCACGGCGGAAACTTTCCACTGGCCTTAAAACCACAGGAAAACTGCCAGAAATCCCGGCGACACCCAAGCCCTCAATTGTCTCGCCAGCGATGGGGCGGCACAGAAACAGTACCGGTGACTACTTCTTTTGGTTTGTTGGTTTTTTTTTTGAGATAACGAAGACAGTGGCTGTTTCATTTCAACAGGGGAAGGTCCACGGGGACCTTTCGAGAAAAGCGATCCCTGAACTTTTTCGCGTCGTCAAAAGAAAGTTGTCCACCAAAGAGTCACACCAAACCCGGCAGACAAGGGGGCTCTGTCCCAAGGAGCGCCGTCCCACCGCCCGTGGGTACGGCTTGGCTGGCAGGCTCCAACAAGCGCAGTTTCCATCTCCCCCGGCCCTGGTTTTGCTGGGGAGGGTTGGTTTGGGTTTTGGTTTTTTTTTTTTTGTAGTTTTGGGGGAAAAAACCCCACACTGCTCTTGCCTTGCAGGCCTGCGGGATCTGACTTTTGGGGTTTTTTTGCTCCTTTTCTTGCATGCTTTCTGCCCTAAAAGCCTTTC